TAAAGCACTTAAATCATAATACATGATAAATAAATGGTAAACTTTTATCTTCAGCTATTTCTTGGGGAAAATGTGAGGAGAAAAAGTTCTGTTTCATGACAAATGACTGAATATTTTTCTTTTTCCTTGTATCTTTTTACATTTTCTGTCTCATTTTCAAATTTGAGTAAATTTATTTCTTACATGATATGATTTATCTTAGAATAACTTTACAATTCTTTGATTTCTAACACTTTCTAATGAAATAATTTTCTTTCAATTGCTACCTGAGGCTAGATTACCAAATAGGATATATAATGCAAAAAGCATTAAAATGATAGTTTACCCTGTATCTAAATGAAAATATTTATATGGGCCAGGTATTCAAGAGAAGTATAAAAAACTTCTTTAAACTATTTATTTAACTATTCATCTCACTGCCATCAAGTTGAATCTGACTCAGTGACCCCTCCTTGGTTTTCCGAGGCAGTATTACTATAGAAGTAGATTGCCCAATCTTCATAGCTGGGTATATATAAAACAATAAAATATATTCTTAGAAGCAACATATAATACTGAAAAGAACTCTGGGTCGAAATTAGAGAGGTGATTTTTATTCCTGGCTTGCCATCCATGTGAGTTTGGGCAATTTACTCAAATTCTCTGAGCTGCAGTTACCTTGTGAATAAAATAACCAAAAAAAAAAAAAAAAAAAAACTGCTGTCAAGTCAGATCTGACTCATAGCAACCCCTCTTTGGGTTTCCGAGGCAGTATCACTACAGAAGTAGATTGCCCCATCTTCCTTCTGAGGAGCGGCTGGTGGGTTTGAACCGCCAGACTTCTGTTTAGCAGTCAAATGTCTTAGGCACTATGCCACCAGAGCTCCTAGAGACATCAATATCTGCCCTGTTTTCTCAGTATCTGGGAGAAGTTAGCTGTGGAACTGATTTTGACTCATAGTGACCCCGTGTGACAGAATATATCTTTCCCTTAGGGTATTCTATGCTGTAATCTTTAAGGGAGCAAATTTCAGATCTTACTTCTGTGGAGCTGCTGGGTGAGTTTGAACTGTCAACCTTTAGGTTAACAGCTGAGCACTTAACGATCGTGCAATCATGACGCATTGTCTGGGAGGTAAAAGTCTTTTTTTCACCTACCACTTACTAAGGCCTGCTGGATCCTTTTTACAGAAATATGAAGACAAGTAAGATTCAGTGCCTGCCTGCAGGAAGGGTACAGTGGGGAGATGTAACATTAATAGAAATTAGGGGTGGAGTCACAAAATGCTTCTTGAAGGTAGAAATCCTAAAAAAAAAAAAAAAAAAAAAACAAGTATGACTTAGTGAAGAGCATGGAGGCAGAAGAGATAAGAGTATCCCAGTTGAGAAAACAGCATTATGCAAAGGTAATGAGGTAGGAGAGGGGGGCCTAAAAGCCATTCAGTCGGCTGGAAGAAGGAGGGGAAGAGTGAATAATAAGGCAGGGAATGTAGATATAATCCAGATTCAGGTTATTAAAACTAGATGTTATAGGTGGCGCCAATTTCAAGTGCTTGACTATTAACCCAAAGGCTGGTGGTTGGAATCCACCCAGAGGCACCATGGAAGAAGGGCCTGGCAATCTGAAAGACCACAGCTTTGGAACCCCTATGGAGATCTACTCTACTCTGCAACACATGGGGTTGCCATGAGTCAGAATTGACTCTACAGCAATTGTGTTTTCTTTTGTTTTGGTTAGATACTACTTTAATGAATTTGCATTTTAACCAGAAAGCAATGAGGGAAGGTGGGGGGCAATGCAAGATTATTAAGAGGAGAGTTATGATTTTAGAAAAGTCATCCTATAGCAACATAATCAATGGATCAGAGCCTAGAAAACAAACCCAGATTTCACTGTATTGGTTCAGGTGAGAAAATTTAAAGGCTTAAAGGCAGCGACAGCAAGAATGGAGAAGAGAAAACAGTGTCAAGAGATGGTACAGATGTAGAATCTGCTTAACTCTTTTGAATATTTTATTGTGTTTTTGGCAGAAATCTACACAGCAAATTAGGTACCCATTTAGCAATTTTTGTACAAATTACTCCCTGACATTTATAATAATTTTCACAATGTGTTAACATTCTCATTATTTCCATTCTGTTTGTTCTATTTTCATTTATCTAGCTTACCTGACCCTCCTTGCCTTCTCATTCTTGCTTTTGGGTAAATGATGACTGTTTGTTCTCATATAGTTGACTGTTTAAGGAAGCATATTCTTCACAGGTGATATTATTTATTGTATAAGGAATCTACTCTTTAGCTGAAAGGATATCTCTGGGAGTGATTTTAGTTCCAAGTTAAAATATGATCATCTTGGGGATTGCTCTAGTCTCTATCAGCCTAGCAAGTCTGGTCTTCTTGAGGAATTTTAGTTTTTTTCTAAATTTTTCTCCCATTCTGTCTAGGACCTTCTATTGTGTCCCTAATCAGAACAGTTGGTAGTAATGGCAGCCAGGCACCATTTAATTCTTCTGGTCTCAGGTTAGAAGAGGCCTTGGTTCGTGTGGGCTATTAATCTTAAAGACTAGTTCCTTCTTTCAGTCTTTGGTTTCTTCACTCTCTTTTGCTTCAGACATGAAGAAACCAATAGTTGTATCTCAGATGGCCATTCACACACTTTTAAGACCCAAGATGCTACTCACCAAATTAGGTTGTAGAACATCATCTTTATGAACTATGTTATGCTAATTGACTGAGTTGTCCTACAAGATTGTAGTCCCACATCCTTCAACCTAGTAAAGCAGTATCACGAGGTATTTGGATATGGCTAGGAGATCTCTATAGCTGTGTTCCCTATGTGCTTTTATATGTGTATGAATATATATGTAGCAATCCAATCTTGTATATATTTCTGACTATAAATATACCCATATATGCATGTCCATGTACTCACATATACCTTTCTATACACATATAACACACATATCTATCTCTGTAACCACACAGATAATTTTTGGTTGTTATTACTGTTTTTGCAAAATTATGTATGTTCTAACATTTATCATAATTGTCCTTTATTCTTGAGAGAACTGATATAATTTAATGTCTTACTGGGGGTGTAAAGAAGAAGGGGAAATCAGAAAGTCAAAGGTTTCTGATATGCCTGGGAAGACAGTGCATTTTTCTAAATGACAAGAAACACAAAAGGACAAATATTGTATTAGTCCGTTATTGTAAAAGTTAAGGAAATGTTTATATATTGGAGGACATTTTCTTTGTTGGTTACCAGGGGTGGGAGGGAAGGGGAGGGAATGCTGTTAGATAGATAGAGATAAATATTGATTTGGGTGAAGAGAAGGGCAATGTACCAAATGTGAGTGACCAATATGGCAGCATTGAGGATGAGAAAGACAGAGAGAGTTACATGGGCAGTACAAACAACAAATATGAACCCCTTTGTAAATACAATACTGAGTTGTTAATGAAAGCAAACATGGGTATAGGGACGGATAGATGGGTGAACAAGCTAAACAATTATGTATGTCTAAATGGAGAGTGTATCCAAGATCATATACAGGGTTGGCAGACAATGGGCCTCTCGAAGAGTATGAAGGGATGGACACTGGGAGGAGGTAACTGTGGGGAGGAAGTGGGAGGGGAGCTGCTGCATTGTAAATTTTGGTCAATGACATGAGACAAAGTATATGTGAACTGCTGTATGAAAAGTGAATTTACTCTGTAAATCTTCACCCAAATCCTAATAAAAAAAAAAAAAAAAAAAGAAATTACAGAAGGATAAAAAAAAAAAAAGAAATATAGAAGAGGAAGTAGGTTTCTGAGAGCTTCACAAATTCAATTTTGGATAAGTTAAGCTCACTGTGCCTGGGGGACGCACAAGTGGTGATGTGCAGAAGGCAGCTGGATATATGAAATGCCTTTGACCACTATGAACTATTCCAATATAAATAATATTACTTGAATCCAAAACTCTGTACTTTTGGTATGTCAGGCACCTTGGGAAGTGTATTAACTCTTGCAAGGCCATTAGGGAAATTACTATAGTGTAAATGGCCCATTCAACAGGGCTCTAAGGGCCTCACAGAATAAAGACAACTCTCAATTCTTTAGTTGCCCATTTAACTGAAATTATTTAATGACCTACAGTGTCATTTCTACTGTGAGATATCTCTGATGACTTGTAGTGTCTTGTTCACCAAAACTTGAATGTGGCTGGCATCTGCATTGGATTAAAAAGAACCACCATGCAGAGGAAGACAGAAGACAGTGCTCTGGAACACTTCTTCCATCTAACCTCACTGCCTATTACATTTTCCTATAAGCATTCTTATTTCTAGCTGTCATAGGGTCATCAAGCATTAGCTTAAATCAAATGTCCTCTGGCTCCAGATCCCATGATGAAAAATTTATGGAGTCTTGGACACATTACAAGTTTTACAGCTTTACAGCTGAAATCCTTCAGGTCCTTCTGACCTACAGAAGGAAAAAGTATGTGTTATTTTCTTGTGATTCCTAAATGTTCTTCTAGTGTGTGCATTTTTTCCTGTAGAATGTGCCTGTTGCTTCCAGCAATATGTTTTATATTACCGTTAATAGTAAGGAAGCTCTGAAGGAAGGGAATAACTTAGTCCTTTTGCAAGCACAACAGAAAAGGGAACTTGCAATTGGAAGCATGATGAGTTGACCAAGTCTATGAATCATCAGTTTGTCTTTCTCTTTTACTGGACAACCTATATGAACCAATGAATATATCCTAATGTGCTTTATAATGGTATGTTGGTCTTTTTTGAGTGGAATCTTTTTATAATATACACAAATAAAGACTTTGCTAAGACCTTGAAATATCAGATGCTCTTGTAAAGTCCCGGTTATAGCTAGCTCAACACCTTTGAATTAAACATTCTCTGGGGAACAGGCTTTCCAAATCTATGCCAAGACCTAAAGCATCTCTCTCCTCAGGAGATTATAAGTAGCATCAAGTTAGAGACCTTCGCTTGAAAAGAAAGTACCCAAATTGGCTCACCTTGACAATAAAATCTGCTGTGAGTGGTCCAGCCATTCTCAGTATCTCTTTGTCTGGAAATTTCTGGAAGTCCACACTAGAATTGTCCACAAGAAAGGTGCCTGTAGAGCTGAGACTGCTTTCACCTTTAACCCCAAGCAGCGTTTTGGTTTCCAGATCTATATAATCAAACACAAGAAAGGGAGAGAAAGATGTTCCCAGGACTTCCACTGACTACATGCAGAGATATTTAATGCAACAGAGTCTAGAGGCATCACTTTTAAATGACTAAGAAAAGTGAAATTCAGATATAAACACAATATATAGGTACCACTGGATCACATGGAAGTTTAAGCTGCAAATGAAATAATTTTAAAATTAACTAGCCAAATACTCCAAGTAGTCAAGGCTCACTGTCCAAATCTTTGAGAACCTTGCTTTACCACAACACTATTCTTTTGACTCAGCCATCTCCCATATATATCTTATTGATTTCAGTCTTTATGCTCATCAGCCTGGGGAACCCTCCAGTTTTCTTTTCAGCCTATTATACTCAATATGCATCTTTGAGTTCCCTCAGCAACTGTGTGACTTTATAGTTATGCATTACCTTGTGTTTATTATTATGCTTTCTAGTTTCTTACTGTATGGATGCTATTGCTCAAAATAAACTATAGAAACTTAAATAGAAGCAACCCTTTCCTCTATTTTCTCTCTTTCTTTTATTACTTAATTAAGTATTGTACACATATATAGTACTTTTTACATGCTTAAGACAGAAGGAAGAACTTCTTGATTACTGTAGCATTAGAATCCGAATTTCCAGTGATAAAACCTATGAAGTATCTTTTGTTGTAGGAAATCAAAACATGCTGGGGAAGATGTGATTATGATTTGTGTTTCAGAGGAGATGGAGCTGAGCTCTCAGGTGATGGAGAGGTGATTTAGAATAATTGCCCCTGTATGAAGGAAGATAGTCTAAGACTAATGGTTGTCAATGGTTTTGGTGGTGATTCTTCAGCAGATAGACAGAGTTATAGCTCCCCTCTTGCATGATTGGGGTTCTGGAGTTAAGAATAACTTTAAGGTCTCTGGAGCTACCAAAGTTCCTAAAATAAGGCATTTGTATTTATTCTAGTTGTTGCCTACATCCAGTTCTCTACTATAAGGAATACCAACAGGTGGGGAATTTTGATGTTCAATAAAATGCGCAGTGACCCACAGGTAAAGTCTGCGCAGTGCAGCCCTTCCTTGGAAGTAGGTCAAGGTTCACTCCTCTGTCTCAGTGCAGAAATGATCCACAGAACATAAAGCCTATCAAGTGAATACTGGCGTAGGAAAAATCACAGTTGTTGTCATCAGAGGAAAGCAACAACATTGAATCTCTTCTACCCTTCATTCATTGAGCTGCCTTACATAAACTAATTTGTAGAAATATCTCCAGGACATAAATTAACTTAGTTTTGGACAAATCCTAAAGGGTTAGGCCTTATCTTAGCATCTGATTCAATTGTATCTCTAGCCTACCAGCTGCCCTTCTCAAGGTACATCTCCTTAAAGATGAACTGGTGCTGGACCAGATTGCCTAGTTATGCTCTGGTTTATCTCTAAATAGTTAAAGCTGGCTCATATTAGACTGGCTTCTGGGCATGAAGGACAAAAGCGCTGCAGAACCAACAGCGTCCTTTACCCATACATTGCTGAATTATATTCCAGTAACACAGATACACAAAAATTTCCTTAGCTGAACATTTGTATGGGAAAATAAGCAGACTCCATTTTATTTTTTATCATTTATGAATACTGTTTACAGCTTTATCTATCAAATCCTTGGGACAATTAAACAAAACAGTTCAATTCTTCAGTTTCTTAGTGATCATATAATTAAGAGAACCAAGAGGCTAATAAATTTATAAAAAATAACAGTTCCTCTTAAATCTATTTCTTTGAGTTCTCTTTTCTGCAGTGAGTAGTCAGTCCCCAACTTCGTGATGATCTGGACATGGAAGTTTTATTTTAGCCTGTCGCTGCTTAGAAAAATACTGTTTTTGAGCAGTTAGCTCTGTCCAACTCTCAAAGGGAAAAAATTAATCACTAAATAGTAATAGTGTATACACATATTATCCTTTGACATATGAATACTGTATTTGATGAGGTTGTTCAGGGTTAGAAAAGAACATGGATTCATATAAGGTGACTTATCAGAATTCACTGGGTTTGCCTGAACTGTACCTTACTTATTTCCTTAATTCACAATGATCTTCACATCTACTCTCTCCCATGAAACACATTTATTTTTATTTTTAGAGAGACTACAGTAGCATATCTCAAATTAACTTTTATAGGCTCTGACTTGTCTTCCTTATGCTTGTGTTTCTAGTATGATTTCATTCATATTCCAATTGCCAAAATGTAACATTTGCTATCCAAATTGGTTTCATAAGCATTTGTGGGAAAGAAGAGAAAACAAAAGATGATGTTGTTGTTGTTATGTGCCGTCGAGTCAAACCCGACTCATGGCGACCCCTCCTTGGGTTTCCGAGGCAGTATCACTACGGAAGTAGGATTGCCCAACCTTCCTTCCGAGGAGTGGCTGGTGGGTTTGAACCGCCAGCCGTCTGGTTAGCAGGCAAGTGTCTTAGCCACTATGCTACCAGAGCTAGAACCCAAAAACAATCACAGTAGAGGAAATCAGAAATGCTCAAGGGACCAACTAAGGTGAAGACTTTCCATGAAATTGAATTCTAATGAAAACGCTAACATATTCTCTTCCACCTTCTTCCTGGCTAATAGTCTATAATTTTTTGCTTGTAATTTACAAATCTAAATCTACACAGCACTAAACAGTAATAATAATAATAAAGCTGTGGCTGTGTATTGCTGTCTTGGTATGACTGATCATCAATTCTTGCATGTGAGTGCATAAGCTCTGGTAGGACCATGCTATCATTTCATCTTTGGGTTTATGGTTGAGAGTCCCGATATGTTTAAGATGTTAGGGCCCTGCATTGTCTTTGATACATGGAATGCTTACATACAGTGGTTCCCTTTAACTAGCACAATGTTAAAGTTGTTTGAGGTTCCCATGTTCCCCTGCATTGATAAAGTAATGGGACATGAGAGTAGGATGAAAAAGAAAAGGAATGAAGGAGAGGGAAGGAAGACTGGCAGAAGGGAGAAAGGGGAGAAGAGGCAAGAAAATGGTTGTGATTGACTGGAGAGGAAAGCAAGAGGAGGAGAAATAATACAAAAACATAAACATGTGCTTAACCCATGAACAACCTATTGGGAGCATCTATTCTGTATTTTTCAGGATGTCTGTGGTTAGAGATAATTATCACAGAAGTTTCTACCATCTCATCAGCAGTGGAAAGATAAATAGTAATGTTCAAAATATCCTATTATGATAGACTAGAAAGATTTGTATTCCAAACTAAATAATAGTGAGTAAAATTCCCACTCTCCAAGTGAAAACAATTGAATCTACTCACACAAGTGATCAGGTCCTTTTAAAACAAGGCGGATATGTCTGCTTCCATAGGGAATTGCAACCACCGTGTCATCTACTAAAGAGAAACAAAGCAAAATCTTAAAAGCACGTAATTTGAAACAAACATACCCAAACTAAAACAAACTCTCTCTCTCTTTTTTTTAAGTGCTTAAAATGTGAAAGCCAACATTTTGAAATCAAGATTTCAACTTCTCTCAAAATAAAATCTGTGAAAAGAACTGGTCAGTAGTTAACTCATAGGAGTTTGGTCTTTTTAAATATGAATTTTGATATATTGAAAAATAGATCTGTAAATTTTCATTGTTGTTGTTATGTGCCGTCGAGTCGGACCCGACTCACAGCGACCCCTCCTTGGGTTTCCGAGGCAGTATCACTACGGAAGTAGATTGCCCCATCTTCCTTCCGAGGAGTGGCTGGTGGG